CTCTCACTGAGCCATTGTGCTAGTTACAGTTTGAAAAACATTGAGAGGGGAAGAGACACAGGAGGAGGTGCCCAGACAGTATATAGTAGTCATTCCAAAGCATCCTATAACAGGTGGAATCAGCACCACACAGTTTAAAAAAATACATTTCAAGCACCACACTTATCCTAAGGTTGTTCCCCTTGGCCTGAGGCCTGAAGAAATGGGACAACCCCTGAGATCTGGGGACTGTAGATAATATTGACTTTGGTGCCATCTTCAAATGGAATAAAGGCTTCTGTGTATAAAGCATCTCACCTGATCCAGATTATGCTAGATGTAAGCCATGGAAATCCACTGGGTGATTTTGGGCGAGTTACATACTCTCAGCCCCAGAAAACCCCATAATAGGTTCACCTTAGGGTCCCCATAAGTCAGAAACAACTTGAAAGAACACAACAGCAACAAATTATTATAGGATAACTCCCCTCAGCATCACTAGTATGGCCAAACATCATGAATGTTGAAAACTCAAGACCTTGAGAGAAACCCAAGCTGAGGAAAGCAATTAGTATAAGTGGCTAATGCTCTACCTTTATTTGGTCAAAAAGCCAATGCCCTCTGTAAGTTTTGCTTCTGTTTCTTACTCCACTGTCCTCTCTCAGGGGTAAATTTAGGTATGATTGGTCACCCCACCCCTGGCCTGGCTCTGGCAGCTGTTTATGCATATCTTTGACATTCAGACTTTGCCAGATCTAATCCCAGAACTATAGATATCACTGATCACATTGATAATATCACACTGACTGAATATAACCTAAGCGTATTTATAAGTAGCAACAAATATCAGCCATCTAATGAGATGTGATGTCTATATTTTAAAAGCTGCTTTTCTGAACACCTCCAGCATATAATATCAAGTCCTGTTATTTGCTATATTTGCTCCCACTGCTGATGTATTTATACCATGCCTTTTCCCATAAAACCAAAACTCAAGGTGTTACAAGTTAAATTACATACAAAAGACCAACATTAAAATTAAATTAAACTATTTAACAACATTAAAACAGTTTAGAACACATTAAAATTATGAAAAGCGAGTTTTAAAAAAGCATAACAGAAAAATAACATCATGAAGCACTCTCTTAAAAGCTCTTTCTTTAATAACTTCTTAAAAGTCCTTTCATTTCTGTCTTTGGTAACATCTCAAACACTCCATGCTATTTGCTAAGCATGTATATATTGAAGGCACATATTGACTGCAATTTATTATCACACATAACTATTTTATATCTTGACTATTTTTTAAATTATTGTCTACTCTGGTTTGAAATGTTTTTGTTCACTGTCTTCTTTTAAAATAGGGGCTGTTTTCAGAAGTTATTTCCTTTCTTTTCAAAGAGCTGGTGGAAGAATTGGCTTGATATTTGACCAAGCAAATTACATTGGCTAGTAGGTGCTTTAATTTGTGTGCCCCAGGCTTAAACAATGCCACTTCCAGTTAGAGACCTTAGTGTTATTGCTGTGCTGTGGATATACTTGGAGATGCCGATTCATGTGAGCATAAATGTGTTTAAGAACTGTATGACTGTGTTTGTGCATGCAAGTGTATTTCTGCAAATGAAAGTGATGTAGCAGGGGTAAGACTCCTATTAAATGAAACAATGCGTTGGTATAGGAACCAAATGAAGGATATTGCTGGCAATCAAAGGTTGGGATGTTAGTAATTCCAAATGATTTTGAATGCAATATGACAAAAGCTTCAGAAAGAATAGAGTAACATTACATCAGTGTAACACAGCATAACAGCTAGTCATAAAACACTAACTAAATAAGCTAACTTGAACAGCTCTGGGTTGTTTATTTACTTGACAATAAAATGTACATACCAAAAGGATGCCTTATTATTTTTTGGCTTTATACACATAAGGCAGTGGGTCCCAAGTGGCTCTTGATAGTTTGAAATCATATACATTCAGAAGCCTAAACTTGAAGCACAATTAAGTGCTCATTCATCTTATATGGGGGGGTTCAGCCCCTGTGTGCTTGTCAACTTACTGAAGATGACACTAGTACAGTGAAGTATCTACAACTGATACCAGTGTCAAGGATAAAAGTCAGGCATTGTGTGTATACCCTACATCCCTGGGCACAAACATCTGGAAAATTAAACATCTAGGAAACAGATTTACCTTTTGACTGATTCCCTTCCAAAGCACAGACAGTGAGAACTGAAGAGGTAGACAGTGTCCAGATCATGCAAGAATGGCTCCTTAAGGGAAGAGATCAGTTGGGGAAGTATTTTTCCTCCAGAACCTCTTCTGCTGTCATTCACCTGAACCCTGGCAGGCCTTCTGCTCATGCTGCTCAGCTCCATTTGGTACCCTGAGGGAGGACAGGGAGAGAATGATGACTACAAAGAAGGCAGCATATTGACTAAGGGTGCATCTACGCTGTAAAAATAATGCAGTTTGACACCCCTTTAATTGCCATGACTCCCAGAATTCTGGCATTTGTGAGGCACTGGTTCATTTAGGCAGAGAAGGCTAAAGACCTTGTAAAACTACGAATCCCAGGAAGCCATAGGATGGACCTACAACACTTAAAGTGGTGTCAAACTGCATTATTAATTATACAATGTAGATGCATCCTTAAACAGGATTTTTTCTCCCTCATTGCCTACCTCCTCTATTGTTATTTGCTTTACTAAGAACTCATGCCTATGTTATATCATTTAAGGACATAGGGCAGAGAGGGAAAGATGAGCAACACTAGCATAAGCCCTTGTTGGGTCAAATGCAGCATAAAGCAAACAGAAGTGGCAAATTACTGCCCAGTTCAGTTCCTTCCCAAGAGCTCTGTTGGATCAGATGAAAGGTTTAAGATATTGTAGTTTGCATCATCCCTCACCGTTGGCTGTGCTGAGTAGGGCTGATGGGAGATGCAGTCAAACGTCTGAAGGGCCACACGTTCTCTCTTCTGCCACTCCATCTATGCAGTCCAGCATTCTGTTTGCAATAGTGACCAAACATATAGATCAAGAGAGATAACAAAAGAGTAACAATCTGCTCCTTGGGTTATTTGGAACCAATATTTGATGTCCATATATGTAGTCATCATGGATCCATGAGTTTGCCCAATCCTAAGAAAAAACAAACCAGGGCTAATAAGCAAAAAATGATCCAAAAAAGCCAAAACTATTGTTGGTTGGTTCTTTTGTTGATTATGGGAGTGTTGCCCAGTCTTTTCTGGATGTGATTCCATTCTCCCTTAAAGTTCAGGTATGCAAATTATTCTCTCTGAGTCTATTTCTATTTTTAAACCTTGCAAATGAATTACAGTTATACAACATATGTAATGTCATGAGACACTGCAACCTTGTGTGTCTTAGGCTGCATCTGTGCTTCAGAAATAATGCAGTTTAACACTGCTTTAACTGCCATGGCTCCATCCTATGGAATCTTGCAATTTTTCGTTTGTTGTGGCACCAGAGTTCTCTGTCAGAGAAGGCTAAATACGTCACGAAACTACAAATCCCAGAATACCAAAGCTCTGAGCCATGGCAATAAAAGCAGTTTCAAACTGAATTATTTTTGCAATGCAAATGGAGCCTTACTCTGTAGAAGAAGGGATATAAAGGAATTAAATGAATTTCATGACTTTACCTGAAAGCCTTGACTTAGAAGCACCCATAACTCTCACACTTTTAAGATTATCACATAAGGATATAAATTGGCTTACCTGAGCTGGCTTAAAATTAGAAGCGGGCAGTATCCTGATATTATCAGATGCATTTAGCCGCTGAAATCGCCGCCCATGTGCAGCCCGGATCCATCGCCGCTTAGAGGGGCACTCCAGTGGCCATTTCTTCAAGCCTGATAACTCCTGGCTCTGAAAAGCGATGCAAGGAGCACCCCTTTAAGCGGTGATGTAACTGGGATGCATCAGGGTGGCGATTTTGGCGGCTAAACGCATCTGATAATATCAGGATGCCGGACACTTCTAATTTTAAGCCGGCTCAGGTAAATCGCTTTATATCCTTATGTGATAATCTCCTTTGAATGATCCTCTTATTTAAAAAGCCTTCTGCATAAATATGATGACAGTGCTGCATATTACATCAGTTTTAATTCTGAAATAAAATATTTCAATAATTTTGAAATAAAAATGCTGCATATCCCCACAAATCATTTGAAAAGGAACTCTATCCATTTTGGGATGGAGCAGCGATCTGCAGCAAACCTGAGCTTTGAGGAACTCTTCCAGTCACTAAAGTTAACTTTAAGTGAACGTTAAATATTTCCTTGTGGCCCAACTTTCCCTTTCTCTATTGAGTGTCTAAAACATCTACTTTTTACCTTTTAAAAAAAGGGGAAAAAGTAGACCTATGCCCTCCCAAAAAAGCCTCTAGCAAGAAAATAAGCAACTTTGTAAAATGATTAAACTTCCTGTGGCAAGTGCATTTCAGGTACTGCATACCATGTGAACAGGTAAACTGAGATGACAGGTTCATTTCTGAGAGCAATTTTGGGGTGTATGTATTTTGGCAGAGTTCTCCATTGTCATCTTTTAGAAAAATCCAAGCTTAGTCCTTTGATTGAGTGATTTGTATTTGCCTATTATTAACCTGCAAATGCATGGCAAAAAAGTACTATAAGCTTCTTGCTAAATAAACACATAGCCATAGAGAGGGGCATAATGATATGCCTGTTTTTAAAAAAAATCCTCATGGTTCATCTCCATTACCATATGTAGATTCTGAACCACAACTACATCAGAAAAATTCTCCAATATCTCTGAAAGTCCTCTTTAAGTTGATACATGTAGAGTGCGAGAATCTAAATTAATAGATGTACTGTAATGATGTACTGTAGAAACAATTGATCTACCTGTCCTCCCAGGTTTGGAGGCTCAGGCTATGAAAGAATGTGAAAGAACTAACCTATGAGCCAAAGATACCAGTTCTACACTGCCATTTTCCACTTACTTCCACTTACTATCCATGAGAGGTAGCAAGGAGAGACAGTGTGGTGTAGTGGTATGAGTGCTGGACTAGGATTCCAGAAATCAGGGTTCAAATCCCCTCTCAGCCATGGAAACCCACTGGGTGACCTTGGACAAGTGACACACTCTCAGCCTCAGAGGATGGCAATGCCAAACCCCTCCCCATGAAGAAACTTAATAGGTTTGCCATAAGTCAAAGATGAGTTGAAGGCACACAACAACAATTTGAGGTAGTTTCACAGTTGCATGTGTAGATCAGCTTAACACCAACTAGTCAAATGATGGGAAGGGAGCTTTTGTGGAGATCTATGGAACCAAATATTAACTTGATTCTAAGGTTCTGTGGTCAGGCCATGTCTAAAGTCAGGAAGAAATTGGTGAGTGAAGATTATGTTGCAAATCTATACATCCATATTTGGGGATAAGCTTCATAGAACCGATTCCTCACACTTATAAGAGGGTCTTTGCTTTCAGAGATTTTGTGTTGGGAATCATCAGAATTATAATTCCCTAAAACACCAAAATGCTTGGACCCAAGGCCCTTGGCAGTGTGAGGATCACTTTTGCTATTTTTTAACCCCCTTTAAGACGAAATGGAGTCCTTTCTTTAAACAGGAAGCACATTACTGTTGGGTGCTCCCAAAAGCTTCAAAAATGGGTTTGGAGGCTCAGACTATGCTCTCACTTGGTTTTAATGATCTAATGGCGGTACAATTTGTTGATCGTGTAAACAGATGTAATCTTTAAAGTTTACAATATTGGTCCCCTTTTCTACTATTGTTTTCTTCAGGCATCACAAAGAAGCTTATGTGGAAGGAGCTTTTCCCAAATGGGGGGTGGGGGGTGGGATTGTAGTTGTTGTGGCACCAGAGCTCTCTGATAGAGAAGGGTAAATATCTCACAAAATTACAAATCCCAGAGTTCCATAGCACTGAGCCATAGCAGTTAGAGCAGTGTCAAACTGCATTAATTTTGCCATATAGATGCAACCCCAGTGGTGCAAAATTATTGAACGTTTCATATGGGTAAAGGAAAGAAGTGATTTTAAAACACTTCCTTCAAGAAGATGCCTTCCAGATATTTATGTATGTATGTACAGCATTTCCATACTGAAGTGAAGCCTCACAAAAGTCTTGGGTCCTATGTGAGGGAAAAGGTGGGATATAAATTAAATATATAAACAAATAAAGGTGGTTCACAACATTTTTCTTAAATGTGATGCAGTTAACTAAAACATGAAGAATTTCCAAACCAATATAAACAATTGTGTGTAAATCATACTATGATTCTACAATACAGCTTGGAGAAGCTATGTCTTTAAAGTCATTTAAAAACAATCAAGGTGGAAACTTTGCATACATCCCAAGGTAGTGTATTCCATACAAGATAGTGTATCCCATAAGGATGAGGCCATTACAGAAAAGTCTCTCTTGTGGCTTCAAACTCACATCCTACCAATGGAAACAGAGGTAGGTTTGTGCTTGCCTATGATCATAATAAAAATGAACTGGAAAGAGGTAGGATATTGTGTTTGGTATAGGCTGAAAATCTAAGTAGGTTTGTATTGGTGCAGGGTGAAGACCCTGCTGTCTAAGGGGTCATGCAGACATATATATTTTTAGCAGAACAATGCAAATAATCTCACTCATGCATTCTGGGTTTGTTATTCACACTATGGATCCGCATCTATGCACACCTCTGGGAGTTTGGTTGCCCACATGTGCCAGCACTCAAATAAACATGGAATTGACAATGCAAATGTATTCAAGGTATTCAGAGTTTAATCCCAAATTATCCTGGGTCTATTCAGATCAGTTATTCAGACTGCTAACTATGCAAATCTTGTTTTAAAAGTGGGTTTTTTGGCACACACCCCTAAAAAAAAATACAGAATCACGTGCATTTGTATTGCATGTGAACAACTTTCAACCTGGATTCATCCTGGATTAAAGGTTGATGTAAAAAAACAAAACAAAAAAACAGTGTGTCCTCCCCCCAAAAAACAAATCCAATAAAAAATGAGTCCACAATAAGTGCTAGGAAGTAAGCTTTCCTGAGTAGTGTTTCCAACTTGAACACATACTGAGGAGGAGAGATGGCAACCAATAATAATGTTTGCTAAAAAGGCAGGTCTAGGTCATTTTTGTATCTGGGCTGTACAAATCTGATTGACTGTGACAGATAGTGCTGAGTAATTGCTATAATCACTCCAGTAGGCACTGTACCTTGGCCATGCAAAAAAAAGATGCAGTAAATGGCATCAGGGGATAGCCACCCCCTCAATCTGACATCTTTGACAGCAGTGATTTGATCTTAATGGGAGGGTTATTTGGAGTTATTGCCATTTCAAGAGAGGAAGGATGAGCAAAAGCCTAGCGAGTCCCTTCCTATGTTAAGCAAATATAAGGGCCTCATTAAAGTGCACAGGAGTGCTTATTTGCAGGTTGACTTGCTGTGATGATGCATTGGTGGAGAGCATGATAACGCAAAGCGCAAAAACATGTCAGACAGAATTGGCTGCCTGTTTGCTCGCTCCTGGAGTGTAGCAACAATTAGGATGGTCCATCTTCAAAACTTTCACGTCAATAAGGCAACACATCCAGTTTAAATGAGGCCAAGTCAATTCTACTCAGAGCAAATGATCACCAGAATGATTGCTTCCAAACTGTATACCAGTTTTGGTATACCAAATTGTTTTGCAAGTAAGCACAATAGAGGAAAGGGGGAAAGAAGACATTTCATCCCAATTTACTACAGTACTTCTCTTATAGTTGTTCATTTCCCTTTTGCATCTTAACATGCTGTCCTCAATTTTTATTGAAATCTTCCATCTCTGGTAAGGTTTTATAAATTTGGTACCTCTTTTTGTGATGCTTCTATTAGTTCCAGTGTTGAAAATATAATATATGATTGGCACTGAATTATATGCTAGAGTGATCCAAAGAAGAATGCTAAATGAAGGGGATCTTCATTTCCTCTCAATGGGATCTTCATTTAGCATTATTCTTTGGAAAAGAAAATTCTTGTTTGGTGCCTAAAGAAAGTATTCAATTTCTAAGACAACACACGCACATACACACATTCTGAGCACAATGGGACTCATAACACTAAACTGGCTGTGTAGCAGGAAGAGGTAAGCAGCAGCATCCTCAAGACTTTCTGTGCTCTGGAAAGTGACAAGCATGTTAATTCATTGACTTGATCTCAAGCATCTGCCCCAGGACATATCTGTCCAGAAGAAAAGCAGACAATATGTTAGCTTATTGCACTCATTTGTTGAAGCCAGCAAGCCTCCAGCTTGCCAGAATTTTGTTTTCACCTGTGTTTTATTTTGTAAGCATGAGACAATTGACATTGAAATTGACAATTTTGTAAGAGACAATTGGTATTGAAATATATGCCAGGTCATTTTGTTTTAATAACCAGTGTTAATTTTTTCCTGTTTTTGTTTTGTTTTATTAGAATTATTTTTATAATTTTTATTGCAATAAAGGTTTAGTTTTCATCGACATTGACATTCTGTAGACTTTTGAAAGTGGTAACCAGCATATAAGTAACTATTAGATGAATTGCTTATTGGATGAATCTTCATCTTCATTGTGTTTTTGAGATAAACATACACAGATTCGATTTTAAATGGTCTTCTGTATTTTCAAATAGTCCTCTGTGTTTTTAAATGGTTGTAAGCCACCTTAAATCCTGTGCTTAGAAAAAGATGGGATATAAATTTAATTAATCGATTAATTAAATAAATTAATTAACACTCTGGCAAGTCTCTTCACCAAGAAGATATCTTCTTGTCTGATATTGTTTTCTTCACCAAAAGTGGATATTGCCATAGTGTCACCAATGTATGGTACAGACTTATTTGCGTTGGGATGATTTGGGATCACTTCTGTGGAAGAACTTGCTTCATCCTACTGATTAAGGAATAGTTGTTACGCTGGCATGAAACATCTCCATGTTGCTGGGGCAGGGGTTCCTTTAGATTGGAAAGCATCCAATCAGGATAAAACATCCCTTGGCTTTGAGGTCAAAAAAATGCTCATTATCTAAATAATTTCAGAGTAAAACCAAGCCGTGAATGTACTATAGGACATGATAACCAGCCAAAGGGCTGCTAGAGATATTTGAAGAGAAGTAGCCATGGACAGATGTTTATGTTCCAATCCAAGATGAGAGAGTTAGCGCATTTGGTTTTAATTGAGAATGTAGATGCAGTGGACATAGAGGAAATTCAATTAAATGGAGAGAGCCAGTGGGATATGGTATCTCTTGATAAGAAATATAGATAAAGGAGGGAAGGGAATGCTAGGGGAATGCCACTCTGTATGTCAAAGAGAGCACAGAATCAAAAAACAAAAAAATCTCAAGTGAGACAGACCCTGCACAGAATCACTATAGGTGGCTATATTAGTCATTAAAAGGAATTTAATACTGAGGATAAACTATTGCTGTCTAAATCAAAACTGTCAGAGTAGCTTGAGATGGAGAATGATACCGGAGAGATATCCCAGTGAGAAAGTTTTGAAATAATGGGTGACATCAATTAGCTTTATTTAGGTCCAAACAGTGATGCCACTAGGGTGATATGGGGGGGGGGGGTCAGACTGCACCAGGTGACACCAAAAAGAAATGGAGACACCTGGTTCACCCCTACTCCCACTGGAGGGTGTTGTGGTACTGCTGTCAGTGCCTGCCCCTTCTCTGTTGGCCAGGCTGTTTTGGCCAAGGGAGACAAAGGGAGAGCACATGCGCATCTTCCCCCCACTTTCCCCAGTGCCTTGGCTAGCTTGCCCATGCTATGCCATCAAGAGGGGGGGTTGTGCACACGTTCCTGCCCCCCTATCTTCCCCAGTGCCTTGACTGGCTCATGTCGCCTTTCTGGCAACCAGCTGCCACCACCACCACCCAGCACCTGCACCAAGTGACACCAACAATAGGAACACCACTGAATCCAAGGTGTTCTTGACATGATCCTAAGTAACAGACAAGTTGTAAGTGTTGAACCAGCTGGAAATATGATGATAATGATGATAATGAATTATTATTATTATTATTATTATTATTCTCTCTCTCTCTCTCTCTT